TCTACAGATAGGAGACGGGCTTCCACAGGTTAGCTCAGCGCTGCGGAACAGATTCTGTAGCTCTGTAGGCTAAGGGATCCTGCCCTACAGGATGGCCTGTGTCCAGAAAGGGGTCCCTTCCTGGCACAGGCCACTGCTTGATACTTCTCTTCCCTGGGGAGGAGGATGAGGGCCGAGATGAAGGTCAAAACAGGACTCAATTTCATCCACTAAATCCGGAAGTCTGAACTTGACCCTGAGGAACAGATGGATCTGCCACCCCCATCTGGCACTGAATCGCAGCCCAGAAGCCATCAGCCAGGGCCTGGACAGACTGCGGACCCACAGCTAACGACTCAGCCATCACAGACCCCGCTTTCCCAGGGTGTGGGGTGGGTCCAGAGGTGACAATGAGAGAAAGCACAGCGTGACGGAACTGGGGTGAGGTGGGGGAAAGAAGAACGGAAAAGGAAGAGGAGCAGGAATCTGGCACTTCTGCTCCCTGGGAGATTGACATGGGTGTAATCCATGAGGCATTTCCCCCTCCTGACAAAGATAGGTTTATTTTCTCAGTGAAAACACACCATGACGTCTAGGTCTGCAAGGACACACACAAGCTCTGGGGGTGAGACTGAGCACAGGATGCAAACTACTTACTTACGCCAGGTGCTTCTACAGCTTTTGAGCTTTTACAATAAAAGTGTCCCCCATATATCTTACGTCACAATGATTAAGTCTTACATTTAAGGCCATGCTACAGCAGGGGATAAGGCTACTCCTGCCTTTCTGGCTTTCTCTCCTGCCACCCCTCCTCCTGCAACTGCTCTGGATGGAGCTAAGGACTCAATGTCACCTCTGAGTTGCAACCACCAAAAGCAAACCTACAAGTTCTCTCCAAAAAGTAAATACAGAGTTGTTAACATACAACCTGCAAGCCAACCGTCAGCTGTATGGCTCCCAAAACTAAATACAAGTGCTCAAATATACCAGACATTCGAATGCTTACAGCAGCACTAGTCACCATGGCCCAAAGGTGAAACTGACCCAAATATCCATCAACGGGTGACTGGGTAAGCAACCTGTGGCACGGACAGGGGAATATTATTGAGCCCTAAAAAGGAACACAGTGCCGACGGATGCCAGGGCAGGGATGAACCTCGAAACCACCATGTGAAGTGAAGGGAACCGGCCCTGCAGGCCACTTTAGGTGAAAGAGTCAGGACAGGAGAGCCCAAAGGGACAGAAAGCAGATCGCGGTGTCAGGGCTGGAGGAGGGAAGGAGCGTGACTGTTTAATCAGCACCAGGAATTTTTAAAGATGATGAAGATGATCTGGAACTAGACAGAATGACAGCCACCAACTAATAGTGTGAGTGTACTAAATGCCACTGAACTGCACACTTTAAAGTGGTTAAAATGGTAAATCTTACCTTACAGTATGAATTTTACTTTCATTGAAAAGCAAAATGCGAAACCCCTAAGCTGCATGACCGTAGGCAAGTTTCCCAGCCTCAATGCACTCTCAGCATGACAGTGTGACCACCTAGGGTGGTGGGATGATTCTGTGTGGTGTGTCAGAAGTGCCTGGCATGGGGTGGGCATGTAGAAAGGGCCAATTGGTGATGAAGTGGTGGCTGCAGCTGTGATAAAACTTATATTTTTGGTGCTGGAGATGGAAACCAGGGCCTCAGGCATGTCAGGCAGCCCTCTACCCCTGAGCCATACCCCCAGCCCTTTTTTATTTTGAGACAGAGGTGTGTGTGGGGGGGTCTTGCTGTGGATGAGGCTTGTCTTAAACTTGTGATCCTCCTGCATCAGTTTCCCAGAGTTTGCTGGGATTACAGGAGGGCACTGTCATGTGCAGCTGTGATGACAATTATCACTGTGCACTGTCAAAGCTGAACTCACAGGAAGTCGTTGGGTGTCCAGGTTGTCAAATTATCCTTTTTTGGAGGTGCTGGGGATTGAGCCCAGGGCCTATGCCTACTAGCTGTACCCCCAGCCCTCAAATTATCCTTTCATTTAAACTACAAGAGCAAAAAGACAGGAGAGGGGTAATGTATAAGATGAAGATTCAAGGTATGTTCATATCTATACGATATTTATGCTAAAATTCTATCCAGGTAGGAGATGCCATCACCTCAGAGACAAAGGGGTGGCTCTGCCACATGGCTTCTGGGGAAGGTCTCCCTTTCCACCCTCTTCTGTAGGCCTGCAGATCTGGGCCCTTGCCTAATCCCCATTTTATGGGGGCTACAGGGGCTCTGGGCAGGTGAGAAAGTCCCTTCTATGCAAAGGCCCTCCTTATCTGGAAGCAGTTCTACAAACATGAAGTCTGACAGGTGGGGCAAGAATCTAGCTCTTCTTATCTGTGGGACCAAATTAGCACCACTCTAAACTTCCTGAGGCAAGGTGACCCCTGTGTGGCTGTCTTCCTGGGGAGGGCAGGAGGAATGAATAGGATTTCAGGCTGCCATGGAAACTTTTCTTTCCTGGGGCCTCCGAAGCATATGGCAGGTGTCCTGAAAAAAAATCCGTTCCTGCCACCCACCCAGGCTGGCTGCCGCCTGCAGACATGTGGGTGGGGGCGTTTGCCTCCCCATCTGAACGGCCACCTCCCTCCACCATGGCGACAGCGCACAAAGGAGTCTCCCGTGTGCAGTGTGCTCCTCACGTCCCAGCTCCCAGAGAGCCTGCTGGGGAAATGTAAGTCCCCCATGGAAATGTAAGTCCCTGCCCCCAGCAGACCTCAGATCACAGACAGCAACAGGCCAAAGGCCACCGTGCAGATTTTCCTTGCACCACCTGAAATGCAATGCCCGTTCGGCCCTCTGCTGACAGGGGTGTCTTGCAAGCCCTGCATCTCTTCCCAAGGAGAAAGGACACTGGCATGCTGATTGGGGACTTTTAAGTAGCAAACAAGCTGGACTCCCAGCAAGACTGGCTGGGAAAGAAAAATTACAAATTTGGGGATGTTAAACCTAAAGCAGCCAAAGGAATTAAAATCAGCCTCAGGTAGAAGGTCCCAGGGAGGAAAACAAGACAGGACTGGAACACTCTAAAGCTGTACTTCTCCAACTGGGTGATGGTGCCCGTGGGGGTCTATGGCAGTGTGCCAGGAACAGACAAAGGCACAGAAGAGAACGGGTGTGGTCCTCCTGGGTATCAACTGGAAAACGTGCAATAAAATAGGACAATGATACATCACAGAGGAGAACGCAATACCTGGTTGAATTTTAAGGATAAACTATGCAAAGACAAACAAACATCCTGAGCCAGGCACAGTGGCACACGCCTATAATCCCAGGCTGAGGCAGGAGGATGGAGAGTTCAAAGCCAGCTTCAGCAACTTAATGAGGGTCTAAACAACTCAGCTAAGACCCTGTCTCTAAATAAAATATAAAAATGGCTGGGGATGTAGCTCAGTGGTTAAACGCCCTAGGTTTAATCCCTGGTACAAAAAAAAAAAACAAAAACCAACAACAACCCAAAAGCCATCTGAATTGCAGCTGTCTACTTAGAACCCAAGGTCTTTAGGGGACACCATTGCTTTGCATTCAGGGCAATCTGAAGAAGTGCAGACTCTCAGTTTGGAAGGAGCCATTAATTTCATTAACGATTCCATGAGGTCTTATTATGTGCCAAGCTCTAAAAGTCACAGGCTGGAGAGGGCAGTGGATGCTAAAATTCACAGCATCCAAGGCTGTGGGTCTATAATCAGACATGACCCGCCCAGGGCAGTGGGGAAGGGCTTCCACAGGGATGCAGGGCCTGGACCCGGAAGGCAAAGGGAATGAGAAGCAATCCAGGCAGAGGGAACAGCGTGCAAAGTTCTGTGGTAGAATGGGAACTGGTTAGTTTGGCTTGAATCCAGCAGTGAGGAGGAGAAAGATCAGAGAGGCCAGAACCTGAGGGGGTTGTCCTTATCCTAAGACTTGTGGCAACCATGGGTGGATTTAAGTGGCAGGTGGCATGGGAGATCTGTGTTCTTGGAATATTGTAAAAGCAGCAGCGTATTAATATAGTAATCCCTCCGGAGGCGGACAGATGGTCAAAGCCACACTGTGTTTTTGGTGAGGCCTTGTTGGAAAGTGCAAATCCCAAGAGGCCCATGCTGAAGCCTGGTGACTACATAACAGATCTGCTCAGGTCCAGATCAAGCAGTCACATTTTTAAGTACCTCTAAGAACAGTGGTTGCTGGGGTTCCCTTCCAGTGCATTCAGAGCTCCATGTTGAGAAACAGGAAACATGCAGAGCACAGTTCCAAATCATGCAGTTCTGGCTTTGCATCTTGTCTACCCTGTACTACGGGGCACCCAAGCAAGTTTCTTTTCTGGTACTGGGTATTGAACCCAGGGGTACTTAACTACTGAGCCACATCCCCAGCCCTTTTTAATGTTTAATTTTGAGACAGGGCCTCGCTAAGTTGCTGAGACTGGCTTTGAACTCATGATCCTTCTGCCTCAGCCTTCTGAACCACTGGGATTACAGGTGTGTAACACTGCGCCCAGCTCTAAAGCAAGTTTCTTAACATTGCTGGGCCTTGATAAAGTGGGGTAGGTAAGAGTATCTGTCTCCTAGGGCCACTGTGTGAATTCAGGCGTGGTAATGCATACCTGTAATTCCAGCAACTTGGGAGGCTGAGTCAGGAGGATCGCAAGTCCAAAGCCAGCCTCATCAACTTAGCAAATCATCAACTAAACAAATCAGCGAGATACTATCTTTAAATAAGATACAAAAAAGGGCTGAGGATATGTCTCAGTGGTTAAGCAACCCTGAGTTCAATCCCCTGGTACCAATAAAAAAAAAAAATAGACCAAGCTGCTAAAATCCTTATCAGTTTGGTACACTGGGAACATTATAGACTCTAAAAATAGTGACGATTATTAGTACAGTTCACACCCAGCTAAGGATGAACCCAGAAGATGCTTGAAGACCACTGGAGTATGAAACAGGAGTGGAAGCAGCAGGGCTTGCTGAGGGGGAGGAGATGGCACAGAAAGAGGCCGGGTTCCACTTACTTGCAAGCAGGAGGCAGGAGATGGCCACTGTGTACAGCTGCTTGGAGGTGGTGATGTTGTAGCGGTCCGTGAAGTGGTCCAGCAGGTAGATGGCCAGGTGCCGGGCTGCAGGGCAGAGCTGGCAGTGGCTGCTCAGCAGGGTCAAGATGTCCACAAAGAACCGGCGGCTCTTCAGGAGTGGGGAGTGAGCTCTAAAGGTGGGCAGCTTCAGCTCCTGCAGAACAGGTGGGACAGGTGGGGGTTAGGCTGCCCATCAACCTCAGAGCCAGCTGCTGACCAGCCTGGGTGGTGCTTCCCTCTGTCCCCTCGTTCCTTCTGCCTCAGGTCTCAGGCAGGCAGCCTTTCTGTCCCAGAATGGCTGGACAGTCCCTCTGCCCTGACCTTCCTAAAGATATGTTGGGTATCTGGGACTATAGGATGACAGAAGCCAGTCATTCTCCAAGGGGTCGGGGGAGGCTTTGTTCTACAAGACACACAGGCCAGGAAAGAATGACAGCCTTGTGGCCGGACACCCATGCCTGGATTTCGGTTCCACTGCTCAGCTAAATCGTTAAGACTGTGGTTACCTGCCTTTCCCTTTGCTTCCTCCCTAATCCCTGAGGATTAAATGAAAAAAAATATATATATATGCAAGATGTTTGGCACACAATAACCTCTCACGGTCCACAGCTCACTCCTTCCGTGGGTAGGATCATGAGGCAAGAGTTTTGAAAACAACCACGACAACAAAACCCAAGGAGAGTTGTTGAAATAGTACTAGGAACTCCCAAGCACCCTGAACTCGGATTCACTGGTTGCTGATGCTCTGCCTTCTCTCTCTCTGCATGCACACACTTTTTTTCTGAAAGTAAGTTCCAGATATTGTGACCCCAGCTCTCGGGAGGTGCCTTCTGCTTTGCGAACAGCACACCACCACGTTATCTTGAATTTTATGTCCAACACAAGAAGAGAGAGCCAGCCCAAGAAATAGCAAAGCAACAAAGATTTATACGACAGAAAGAAAACTTTTGTGTATCTACCATATTTAACATTTAACCAAGTACGTTAGATTTTTGTGTTTAGGAAATGTCTTAGCAGTATTTTGACAATAGAAGAACTAAAGAGAAGCAAAACGGAAGGAAAATGGAACAAGAAGTTGGCAAGAAAGGGATTATGAGAGCTCACTAATGGCAGCTTCATGGGGGATGACATTAAAACAAACCCGGCTCCCCCTTCCTTCCTTCCTCCCTCTCTCCGGTGGTGCTGGGGATGGAATCCAGGTCTTACACATGCTGGGTAAGTGCTCTACCACTGAGCTACACCCCCAGCACTGTATAATGCCTCTCTCAATCCTTTACTCAATTAACCAAAGATGAGGACTAGGAAGAGGGGTGTGTCCATCCATTCCACACAGATGCATTCATTTTCCTCAATCTGTATGCTGTGCCTTCCAAATGTGAGGCATTATTCTAGGCACTGCATCTGGCATAAGGCACACACATACCTAAATGTAGGATCTAAACTATAAAATTCTTCGAGGAAAACGGGAGGAAATCTCTGTGATATGATTAGATATGATAGCCCAAACTGAAGCCACAAGAGAAAAATACATAAGTCAGATTTCAAAATTAAAAACCTGGGGCTGGGGATGGGATTCAGTGGTACAGCACTTGCCTAGCTTGTGCAAGTCCCTGGGTTCCACAGTGCTGCAAAAAAAAAAAAAAAAAAAAAAAAAGGAAGACAGGGGCTGGGGCTATAGCTCAGGGGTGGAGCACCTGCCTTCCATGTGTGAAGCCCTGGGTTCGATCCTCAGCACCGCATAAAAATAAATAAATAAAGATATTGTATCCATCTACAACTAAAAAAAAATTTAAAAAGAAAAAGAAAAAGGAAGCCAGTAAATACATCCAAAAATATTCAACATTACTTATCGTTAGGGAATTGAAAAGCAACTCCAAAATAAGATACTACCTCACACCCCCTGGGATGGTGATTTAAAAAAAAAATAATTGCAACTCAAAGAAGTGCTGGTGAGGATATGAGCTAATAGGAACCCCCACTGGTGGGAAAGCAAAGTAGTGTAGCCACTGTGGGAAGAGTTTGGCAGGTCCTTGAAATATGAGATATAGAGTTATCACATGACCCAGCAATTCCAGTCCTTGCTTTATATACGTAAGAGAAAGGAAAACCCACGGCCGCACAGACTTGGACACCAATGTTCACAGTGGCATTATTCATGTCAGCCCCCAAGTGGGACCAACCCAAATGTCCATCAACTGATTAACAAATGGATTCACCAAAGTGTCCGGTATAGCTGTGCAATGGACGGCTACATGTGACACAGGTCACACAGGAATAAACCTGGGGCAGAAGCTAGTCATTGAAGGCCACCTATTATATGACTTGATTTATGAAAAACGTTCAGAAGAGTCAGTCCATACAAACAGAATGTAGATGAGCGGGTGCCAGGGGCCAGGGGGAGTTGTTCATGGGGGGTGGGATTCCTCTGCCAAGTGAGGAAACAGCTCTGAAATTGGACAACAGAGATGACTGTATCACTCTGCAAATATACTAACAACTGAACTGCACACGTTAAAGGGCGAATTTTATGGGAAGTGAATGATTCTGTCCCAAGGAAGCTGTTATTAAAAAAGACAAGACAGACACACCACCCACGCTCATGCAGCCTATGGTCCAGTAAGAGAGCCGGTAATGAACAGTGAGGCAGTTACATAATTCCAACCAGTGAGGAGTGCTGGTGGACAGCTGCAGACCCGGAGCGCCCCCATCCTCCTCAAGGGAGGTGCTTGCCCTACACAAGCAAAGCTGGGGTACAGACTTCACACTGCTCCCCTCTTGGCCCTATCTTCCAGACGGCAGGACTCAGCAATCCTCGTAGCCCAAGGGCTTTGCTTATGGAAGGTGCTCAGAGCCAGAATAAATTACTTCCTCTCCCTAATATTTATAGATGAAGAAACTGAGTTTGAGAAAGTCCCTTAACCCTGAGGCTTTACTGAACTAGCAACAGATCTGAGACTAGAATTTTCAACGTATCCTTTTTTTCCAACTTTTTTTTTTTGAAGTCATGGTATCTTTTATCCCCAGCTTAACTGTTTTAAGGAAAAGACCCCACCCACCATTCTTGTGTGTCCTTCAACTTACTGATTGGGTGCAGGAGCTGGGGATTGAACCCTCCCAGAGCCTCAGGCCTGCCAGGCAAACGCTCCACCACTGAGCCACACCCCGCCCCATCTGATGCTTTATGTGGCCACCCCACTCTTTGGGTCCAAGTTCCAAGTGCTTTTGCTCATCATTGTGTCCCCAGCTTCCCAGTGTGATCAGAACAGGTGGGTGTTCAATAACCCACAGTTGATGGGAAATGGCAGGGAGGGAGGGGAAAGGGAGAGAGGAAAGGTGTAAATTGCAGGGGTGGGTACAGATGGTCCTGGGCCTAGAATGGACTTCAAAGAGGAGAAATGGAGTCACATCCCCAGCCCTTTTTTGTGATTTATTTAGAGACAGGGTCTCACTGAGTTGCTTAGGGCCTCGCTCAGTTACTGAGGTTGCCTTTCAATTTGCAAGCCTCCTGCCTCAGCCTCCTGAGCCACTGGGATTACAGGGTGGCTGGAGCCAAGTTTTGAAAGGACATCTAGGAACTACTTGTGAAGAGGCAGAAGGGAAGTATGCTCAGCAGAAGAAACAGCATCTGCAAAGTCACACAGGGGAACCTGGAGCTCCAGTTTCTGGGGAAACTGGAGAGGGTGGAGCAGCCAGGCAGGCAGGGTGTGCCTACCCAAAGCAGGCTGAAAGGTGGGCTGGCTTCCGCTTTAGAGGCCCTGCTAAGATCCTGCCAGGAGGGCCTGGGGGCCTCTGAAGGGTTTCGACAGGGCCTCGACCTGGTCAGGACAGCCTTGCTTGAAGAACTCTCAGCCAGCCTTCCTCCTGAGCTAAGGCCATACAGCAGCAGCAGCTACTGTGGGCTGACCATTTCCTCCCAACACCACTCCTGCCCTCCAGCACCCCCGGCCCCCCAGCATGCTGCTGTTTGGGTATTTCCTCTAAGCACAGGGGCTCTAAGTTCAGGTCAAAGCAGAAGCAACCACAATCACAGATCCTTCATGTCTGGTAGGCCACAGCTGCCGGAAGTCAGCCTTTGCCAAGTGACCCTTGGCTGGACCACGCTACCCTCATCAGGGAGGTCCAGGGCCTTGAGACACAAGTCAGATAATGCAACGTCCTGCCTTCCCGTTCCCACTCAACTCAATCGAGCTCAACATCTTCTAGATTTTCCTTTGTGCCAAGAGAGAGAGAAGAGAGATCAGTGCAGCACACCTTATGCCTGTCCTCTGGACACACTTCTGGGAAAATACAACCTTTGCCTTGAGCAGATTCTCAAAGGAAGCCACGAACACATGAAAAAATAAAAGTTATGGACAGTTGGAGTAGGCAAGCAACCCCTGTTGAAGGAGCAGCGAACAGGCAAGATTTTCTAGAAAAGGCTGTCTCAAAGGGGCAGGACTGTGAAAGTGATGTTACCGCCGTTGACCGGTGACGAGTCCTTGCTTCCCCAATGTTGAAGAATAACACCAGAAAAGCACACGCCGAGTCAAGGTCAGAGTAGAAATTAGAAGTTTATTAAAGGACAGCAGAAAAGACTTCTCCCGGAGGAAGAAGGGGACCCAAGAGGTGGAATCCGTGGAAGTGCGGTTGTCTCTCCATTTTACAGTTTCTTTCAGTGATGGAATGTAGGTGGGAAGGCCCGAGGGGTGGGACACAGGTAGGCCAAAGAAGTAATCTGGGCAGGAAGGACTTCTGAGTCAGCACCTTCAAGTTTGCTGGGGGCTGTTCACTAACACTTCTTTGAGGTGGACTTTGGCCTAGGGCCTTTTTGGACTTCATTAATATTCCATGAGTTGTCCTGCTTTTCGGAATCATTCTCAGCATGGGCTCCATTTTAGATTTCACTCGGAATTAGACCCGATTTATCTAACTACACTGACTACCTAACTTTAAATCTGGCTTCATTGACAGCTGTCTCCCTGGGATACTCTTCCTCCCTATTTCTACTTGAAGCTCAAATATTGGTTTAAATGTCACTTCGTAAGATAGGCCTTCTCTGACTTCCTCAACACCCCAATCAGGTTCCCTATTCTCTCCTGGCATGCTGTTCTTGGTGGCCCTGTTACAAAATGTGTGTTGAGTAAAAAAGAATGACTACAGGGTCGTCCTTCCCTG